TTTTTTTTTTTTTTTTAGTGGCAGCTTTTTTTTGACACTGGGATTTACTGGTGTTAAAATTTAGCACTGCACTGGGATTTACTGGTGTTAAATTTTAGCGCTGCACTGCAAATTAGCAGTGCTGCAAACAGATGTTCATGTGCCATGTATGGTTTTCAGCACCCCAAACAGCTTTGAGGCACTGCAAACCACATGTGCATGCTGGTCTGGATGTGCGCTTAGGTAATGACATAATAAATGAATTCTGGAGTACAAAATAAAAGTTATTTTCATGTTGCTCTATTTTATTTTTAAGGCATATGCTTTAGAAGCTTGTAAAATATAAAACAGTGCACCTTCTAAATACATATTCACAGTTGCAGAATTAGGAATCTTTTTTTCTTTCCTTTTTTTTTTTTAAAGAGTTATGTATTCATAACCAAGAGGTATATAAAAGAGTGAAATTGCTGGTCTGATCAAATTGTATGTTCAGCCACTGGATTTTACCTTTTTTCTTGTAATAACTGATTTTAAAAGGGGGGGGGGAAAGGATGTATATTTCAGTGAAAAATCCAAAGAATCACTGGGGCAAGGAATGGATGGGGGAAGCTTGTCCTTTAGACCAATAAGAAAAAAAGTTTTCTCTTGAACTGTTGAAACTTCAACATTGCTTTGGAGCTGCTCTGGAATTAACATATATAGAAAAGGGGTGGGGAAAAGGTATCTGGCCACAGCCAAAAAGCAACAGCTTCTTTGGATTGTGTCATCTGTGGAAACTAGCCTTAAAATGATGTCACCTGGTCCAGAAGTTGCGTCTTTTAGGTGGAACACAACTAATGTAGAGGCTTTCAAGCAACTCTCCATCCTTGTTTTTGGGATAGCAGTGAAATGGGAAATAGCTAGAGGAAAGGAGATGGCCGGGATGCCTGTAAACTAAAGCAAAATGGTTTAAGCTGCCTGGGGCTATTAGTTTCTATTATCTCCTGCTTCTTGATTTGCTTTATGTGCAGGTTGGTCATTGCTGAAGATTGGAGTAATTGTTACTTTTTGGCCCCTTCTTGTTCAAAGTTTCTCCTTCCTTATTCCTAGAAGAAATATCTGGAGTTGAGCTTAAGTCCTTCCTTCCCCCTCCTTCTCACTGCAACTACTGTCCTTTCTTTTTACTCCAACTGTGGTTAGAAGTAAGGGTAGTAACTAATTGAAAGGTAAAAAAGGGATCTTTTTTCCAGTTCAAGAAAACCTGCTGCACTTCCACTTTTGGTCATGCTTAGAGACAGAACTGAACAAATAAGATTTTTTTAAAACTTTTCCGTTACTGCTCCCTCATGTTTTTACTTTTTTCACTGTCCCCTCCCACCCCCAATGCAGTGATTCTGTTCTTGTTTTCTCTTAGAAAATGATTTTTGCAGTATATGAAGTCCTCTTTATATGGTACTTTCTTATGAAATCTACCTTTTTACTTTTTCATCTTTTAATTTCCACTTTCCAATATTATAGTTTTTTTCCTCAAATAGTGTCACCATCCTAGAAATATTCGTTGCCATGTCAATTTGACTGTCCTAGGCTTTACTCAAGGAAAAATTCAAAGCATCATCAATAGGAATTTTGTTGAAAATCCTGGTATCTTGCTAACCTGCTTCTTCCCTCTAAAGTTTATATTATTTCATATGGAGAAGTGGCTCAGAAGTTGAAATCCAAAACAAGTCTGTAAGAGATGCTGTAAGAATTTTGGTTCCATTAGCTTCTCATTTTTCTTCTGTCATGCATTATTTTCAGTTACAATAACACTTACCTACTAAGCAATATATGGATATACAACAAAACACAATTCCTTTCCTTAAGAGTGTAGTGTAGAGCATAAAAGAATCCAGTATGTATTAGTAAGAATTAGTATCTGAATATTTGTGTCTTACTTTTTTTTCTTTTTATTTTAGATGCCATTCACCAGTGATCCTCACAGAAACTACCTCTTTGTGCAGATTCAGTCACTGAGTAAAGCAGAATTAAGAAGTGGTCATCAATCCTTTATCTCTGTAAGTTATCGTTTGGTCTTCTTTTAAGTGACTTATCCCATAGCACTTTGAATCAGGCTAGCTACATATTCGTACAGTCTTGTATGGAGCAGAACCTACTTCCAGTGAATTAAATTGGAATTTGCAGTTTTGACAGTCAGAACATTTACTTATCTACTTAAATGGGGATTTTTGGAATCTAACATCTAGCACCTTCTACACCTTGGCTGAAAAGCATAAGAACAAGAAAGGATTTAAAATCTTCATCAAGTTCCTAATGAAATCACTTTGATCATATGTATATGCTAGTTAAACTTTGATTGAGTAAAAATAAGAAATGATTTCTCCACTGACAGAATATTTACCTAATTTTACCATGCATTCCAAATTGTTTTTAAGATCTTTTTGAAGCTACAGTTAGAACTGAAAAGCTTTGATTTTTTTTTGGTTTACTTTGACTCAGTGATAAATGTAGTGATGTGATTGTTGCACTGCGGGTGGTTTGTTGACATTTTTCCGGAGCCAAAAGAAAACTGTACATGGCACTGGAGTTAAAGATTTGCAAGTACCCTCTGTACCTCACATTTTAAATCTTAATTTATATTATTGCCTTGCAACGTAATACAAACATGTTGGTAAAGTAAACAGCCTTCTGAACTCTGGACCAGCGATTCTCAACCAGGGTGCCATGAGAACTTGTAAGAGTGCTGTGCAGTACTTGCACTGCCAGGTGTGCAAACTTCTATGCACAATTTTCAGGATAAAGCCAGAAATGTTATATAGGAATCCATTCTGACTACTTGTGGTCTTTCTGAGTTCTTTGCAACAAAGAAATTGCTGTGGTGTTCAAAAGAGCTTGTACTTTCTTGAGTCTGACGAGATTGAGCGCCACTGCTGTGAACGTGAAAATATGGTCATGTGTGCTGTTTGTTTGCAACATGGAAAAGTATTTATTGCAAACTTTTAAGGGATATTTTTATAGGCTTTTTTTGCCTTTTTGATAAGGAACCTTTGGTAAAGAGATCAAGAGAAGCTATCTAATGTACTACACATAAGTGACATTGAGTGTGATTATGCTACAATAAGATAAAAGGAATGCAGTGACCATACTATGGATGATGCACTCGGCTATGCATAAATCCTATTGATGACTCTGACAGTTAATGTGAACAGCAGAATATTAATGTGTTTACAAATGGAAGTTTAAAAAAAGGCAGTAGCTTATATTCTCTGTCATTGTCTTCTGCCCTCCCCACTCTTATTGCAGGTCAATGGAAATAAGTATTCTTTCAATGATGTTGGTGTATTCACTGTAGTAGTTGATGCCTGTGGTGGCACAGTGGCAGAAAAGAAGTTGTTTCCTCAAGCGGATGTTAAACGTGTGGAGGAGTATCTAAAAACTGGAATACCACAAAGGTATATTACAGTAAACTTGTTCATTTGTTTGCAAACTGTATAGTGTGCTTTACATTGCAGTGCAGAACCCCTGGGAGTGCTTCCTCTGGGTAGTCAAGCCATAGCTCATTTCACATTTGAAAAACATTTTTTAAACTGAAGTGTAAGGAAAAGCAGCTGAATTGTCCTTTATTATATTTATACTATCTTTGAAAAAATTAAGCAATTTGAGTGTAAATATTCCCAAAATGTCCCACCTATATTTTCAAAGGTTCCTTTATTAACTATACATTATGCAGTGGTAGGAGGTGGTGGGAAGAACAAAGTTTGGTTTAATAAGGACACTAAGTTGTGTGAAATCATTAGTTACAATGCTTTAATATTTCATAGATTTCATAGATTTCATAAACATTGGGGCTGGAAGGGACCTTGCAAGATCATGGGTCCAGTCCCCTGTCTGAGGGGCAAGAAGAGTCAGCTAGGTTCAAATGATCCCAGCAACTAAGATAGGCATCCAAGTGTTTCTTGAAAGTGTCCAGAGTCTATTTCAGGCCCTGGGGACTCAGACAGTAAATAAGTTTTTATGTTCAGCCTAAAACAGGCTTCCAGGAGTTTGTGACCCTTGGACCTTGTCTTCCCTTGGGGAGCCCTGGTGAACAGACGTTCTCCCTTATGTACTTTTATAGGCTGCCATCAAGTCACCCCTGAGCCTGTGCTTTTCCAGGCTGAACAGTCCCATGGCTCTTGGGCTTTCCTCATAAGGTGTGCTCTCTTGTCCTCTGATCATGCGCGTGGCTCTCCTCTGGACCCTCTCAAACTTCTCCACATCCTTTCTGAATTGTGGAGCCCAGAATTGGATGCAGTACTCCAGCTGCGGCCTCGCCAAGGCCGAGTAAAGTGGGAGGTTGACTTCCTGGGTCTTGCTTGTGATACATCAGTAGATGCAAGCCAGAGTTTTGTTTGCTATACCAGCTGCGACATCACATTAATAAATCAAGGATTTAGTTCAATGATACGCTGGCAGCGAAGGATTAATAAACCAGTTTTTAAGCAGGTGGCATTGCTGTACCATGAGCTTGTCAAAAAAGAAAAACTAATTTCGCAAAGCTGCAGTTTCAGAGTTTTAATTTCTAAAGTTTCAAAATAAATAATTTTATTGTTACCAGTCTATATTGACAATATTAGTACATTTTCACAAAATCTTACTTTTTAATGAAAGGACTTTTCTATAGTCTTTAACATTATCAGTGATATTTTTATTAAGAAAGAAAAGGTTAACTATTAAAAGTCAATTTTTTTCATAGATGGTTTTTTAAATAGGTCATTTTTCATTCCTTCCCCCCCTCCCTAATTACTTCGATATACAATAATGCTACAAGGATAATGGGTTTATTAAGCCAGCTTAAATGGGAAGTAGACCATTAATATTTGCAATTATGTTAAATGTTTGGGTAAATGTTTGGTTTTTCCATCTTCACTTTTTCTGGTACAGGTCAATAATTTTACTGAGCACAAGAGGGGATATAAGAAACCTTAATGTTTCAGAAGCCTTAATGTCCCTGGGGACAGCCAAACCAGCATATCTTCAAAATAAGGGTTTGTTTAATTTTTACATATGGCTTGCTTTCAAATTGCTTATGAGAAGTCAGTATTTTTACCTTTCACTTAAGTTGTCTGTTCAGTTAGGATCTCAAACTATTGTATGATAAAGGAAGTTGTCAGGGAAAAATATAATTTTTAACATAAAACACTCAGTCCTTTTTGGTGGGGCATTAATGTAGAGTTGAGACTACTACAATATGCATGTCTGTGGGATCTCCCAGTGAGGCTGTCTTGTTTCTTGGCTTGTAAATTGTATGTAGAATGTAGCGGAATGTGAGATTTGACCTATTTTCCCTCTTTCTCTCCCCCTTTCACCTGATGTTTCTGTAACTCTAAATGTGTTCTGTTGCAGGCAGCATAGCATTCTTGGGATTCAGAGGAAACTTTAAGCCATTCTGGACTAAGCTGTTTACCAGTCCTGCTGGACAGGGGCTAGATCAGATTGAAAAATTTATACCTATACAACTGGAAGAATATGGCTGCACCAGAGGGAATGTGAACCGACGGAAAGATGTGGAACTGTTAAAGCAGGCTTCAAGAGCACATTAGAGACTGATGTACATAAGTGCTGGAAAAATGTGAACTAACTTATTTTAATTTATGGCATTTTAAACTATCCCATTATCCCAAGTAAACAATTTTAAACTTTTGATACAGACTTATGCCTACATTGACCGCTTGAATGCCAGTCTGTGCACCTTCTAGTTGTATAAAATATTAAAGAATTTATAACTATTTGTATAAACAGGTTTTTTTGAGAGATTTTCAGACATTTGTATTTGCTGTAAACAGTTTTATTTTATTTTATACTTCTTTTGTATTCTTGGGAGCTGTGGGTATCCATAAGGATAAGTCGTTTGATAGCAAATATTGGAGTGCACCTTGAATTACTTGAAAGATTTTTTTAACATTAAAATATCTGTCTCAGAAGACGTTTGAGTTGCTCATTTTAAACAATCTTTATATTTCTCATTTTTTCTCTGTGGATTGACACATTCACAAGATCCATGCCAGCCTGATTGTGGTCTGTACCCACTTGCTTAAATATTAAAGGGTAAGTCCTTTTCCTCACCCCTCTTGATACAAAGAATCAGTTTACAAGTCATAGTGTAATGCCATGCAGAGATACCTCAAGCTGGTTCTTAACGTGCTAACTCACATATTGGAGTCTACGCAATACAAGACAGTGTTGTGCAGAGGTACAAGGGCTTACTCCAGGACCAGAAAATCATAATCATGTTAGCACAAGGCTCTGCCTAGACTGATTACCTTTCCCCAAAAGAAGAGTATTAGTGGCCGTGTCTACACATGAGCTTAACTGCAGAGTAGACTAACTAGTTGTAGAGTAAAGTGTCACTATTTACATGTGCAAAAGTATTAGGCTGCAGTAAACTAATTAATGCTGCAGTAAAGATAGTAGTACTATCTTATGCTGGGGTTATTTGCTGCAATTAGAAGTATGCGTAGACACTGGCCCTAAGCATAAATTGTACCTGGTCAGTCCACCCAGCCAGATGCCAGACTCCTGCCTTCCATTTAGCCACACAGCTCTACATTTTCAGAGCACCTTCATGCTCCGGCCAGCTCCAACGCTGCTTGGGGCTGACCCCCATTGCTCCTTGCCAGCCCAGGCCTGTTCTGCCCTGTCTCAAATTGCTGCTGTCCTGGGCACAGATTCAGATGTGCCCAGGAGTAGTTTACTTCGGCTCAAATTGCTCTTAAGTTTATTGCTTCGTATTAATTGCACGTGTAGACACACCCAGTGTTTTGCTAATATGTTATATTACTTCCCTTTTTATAGCTAGTACATGCCAAGCTAACCTGAGTATCTGTGTGACATTGCTTTGTATCACGTGTACCAAGGTCTCAGTTGCAGTAAAACTGGGTGTAGTTCTATTGCACCAGAGGTAAGAAGGGGAAGATTCCAGGAACTAACAGACAGCTGGCATATTTTAATGACGTATCTGAACTCTGCAAGGGCCACCTGTAACCCCAGTGCAGAAAATATAAGCATGATCTGTAAGGAGGCCTCACTGTTTTATGCTGAGCTATTGGCCACTCACCTTGGATGATTAATGGTGTTGCCCTAATGCTGCAAAAGCAGCTAGGGCCTAGGATAGGATTTTGTTCCATTAAATTTTAGACCCCTAGTCTGCATATTCAGCTACACCCTGAAAACCAAATAACAGTTGCAGTTAAAAGCTTCAACCCCCAAAACGAATGGAAGCAAAAGATCTCTGACCCATGCTTTACAGGTTAAACCTTTTATTTTTGTTACTGTTTTGAAGTTGGTGGGAAAGATCCTTAGCTCAAACTCTTGATCTGCTTTATTTGGATTGGCTTCCCATGCAGCAACATGATGTACATTTTGATTCATCTCGGTTTAATTGGGCAGTTTCTTCCCTTTTAATTCTGATTTTTGCAATATATGCAAGTGGGTACTTCCCCCTTAGTTTTACATTGGGTTTATTTACCAACCCTCCTTGTTTTTGGTGTTCCTGTTGTCAAGAACAAGCTGCAAGCTGTAAGACGCATACTGAAGGTACTTATTTCTGTGAGGTTGTGTTCTTTGGTGAGTCTAAATCCTTGAACACACATCAGTATTTCAGAGACTGCAAAGATCATTTTAATGGGGAGGGGAAAGGAAGAGAAGGGGGAGCATGGAAGTGAGTAAACAGAACTGTGGTTATTTTTAACACAAATAATGCAGCTTATTCTTTCTTCTAATTTTAGTATTATCCACACCAATGAGACAGGTGCATGTCTCTATTTCTAACAAATTGTCTACATTTTTCATTTGAAATAATCTACCCCCACACAGATTTTCCTACACTTAAATAGAGCTGAGGCTATCTTGATCCTGTGAAGAGAAAATACAGAGGAGATGATTGTAAAATGAAACACATGCAGGAATTCAAAGTTATCCTACCTTCATGCTGACAATAAATTGTTGTGTATGTGTAATGCATTGTGCTACATTTTTCCTTTTTGTCAGTTAATTGTTCCTCAGGTGATTGAATTAAAAATGAGCAGCCTTTTTATTTAAAAACAAAATACACCACTTCACTCAGTTGCATCTTTTCCAATTATTCTATTGTTTCTGCTATTAAATGTAATCATTTTGGTTAGTTAGTGACTGTCTTCAAGGCTATTTTATAATGCTAAATGTTAAGTAACAGGGCAGGGTATGTGGGTTATAAAATGCTATTCGTGCAGTCAATGTTTTGTAATCTGCAAGACAGAATAATTCAAGTTTTCTGAAAGTTCATTAGATTGGTTGTGTCATGACACAAGAGATGGACCAAACAGCTGGTGTCTTAATTTGAATTAGGATTTAGCTGGGAATCTGAGGTGATGCTAAATTGTTCTCCTGAGAGACGGCTCATTTCAGAATGAAATCATATCACCAAGGACATTGCAAGGCCTCCCAAACATGTTAACCCCCTAAACTAATAAAAAATACTTTTCAACTACAACTTGGGCTTGGACTTGAAAAGTCATGTCTTCAGGGTCGATCTAAACATTTGACAAACAGCATCAATGTTATACTCTCCCATAACAGAAATAAGATGTCCGAACTTCAGCCTAACTGGGGCTAAGCATGGTCAATATGTTTCCAGAAAAAAAGGG